CTTTCTCCCTCTCTCTCTCTTTGAACACTGCCAGAATTGTCGCTAGCTTGATGAAAGTGTCCGACTTCCTCTCTCTCTTTCTTTCCCTCTGTGTGTGGTACTGTCGTCGTGTTGCTGACAAGTTGATTTTCCATTACCACCATGCCTCCATGTGGAAGAGAGGGGCTAATTAGGAAAAACTAATTCCTGGGCTGTTGCTCTTTTTTTGGGGGGGGGTTCAGCAATTAATGTATGAGGATCAAAATTGTTAATTGGATGTACTTTAACAAGTTCGGGGAATGTATGAAAATTTTTTAATCGAGTTGCATATTTTTTTTATTTTTTTAGTTCTCAATCGAGGTCGATGAATTGAGTTTCAAAATTTTCGATTTAAATTCACTTGAGATTTCAGAAATGAGTAATGAAATCAAGATTTGAGGATGAAGCGATGAATCGAGACAGTTCAGCAAATCCGTTATTTATTACAATCAACATCATTAATACGGAGATTTCTTAAGAATTTAATTAATAATTAAAAGAGATTTAATATGAGTTTCCTTTAGGTGTCAGTCTGATCAATAGTGACTTTTATCAACGCAGATAATAAGTTGAAGAAATTTTTTTTTTTTTTTTATGCAATCTGGTTTTTGAAACCTCTGATTTCGGCAGTAAGCTCAAGCTTTGTGTAGCTTTAATCTTCTATACATATCATATCAACCTTACATTTGGTAAAAAAAAAAAAAATAAATTAACCTCGATACGAAGAGCGCCTATCCGGTATACGTTGGCGTCGTCACTGACACGCCACGCTTCATCACTTTAATAATTTAAGGAGTGCTCGAGAAAAGAACTTCGTGGAACTACGCAGAGATGGTGAGCTCGATCGGCTGGCTGTTTACCACTGAACCTTTTGAAACAGCAAGCCCTCGTTTTGACAGCACAAACATCGCCCTCACGCTCTTTCGGAAAAATATAAAGTCGCACTTTATGCGTTCGTCACGTGAAAATAATTGCATGAAAAATTTCTCTCAACTGCTTCCTTACCTACAGTGTTACTTGTTCAACGGTTACAGGAAAGAGCGTTTTTCACATCTTTAGGCACCACACACGTGCCTTGGCATACTTTTCAGCATCGCGTGTCTTCTGCCGTAAATGGATGCTACCTATACGTTTGAGCTTCGAATGGTAAATATACTCTCACGTGTTCCGTCTTTTACACGCTTGCGTGCACTCGTTCGCGACTGCGCTTGAATTGTTTGCACAGTTTCTTTGTTCAAGTCATTACGTTTACTTCTCTTACTTTACGTTGTGCTTGATGTAATGACATTTAGGTGACGACGTGTGTGTGTTTTTTTTCTTTCAAAAAATAAAAAAATTACGATCCGTCAACACAGACCAGGTATTTTTAATGAAAATATTTTAATTCTAAAAATTAATATACAAAGGTTGCTTCGTATTTGCATGTTATTGAAGTTTGTGTTTTCCGATATCTGGTGATGCATCCCAAATGCAAAATGAAGTTTACCATTTTCAAATTACAAGTGAGCACAATATTCGAATCAGAGTCTTAATATTCAAAAGGAAAAGCCAATGAAACTTTTCTCAATTGATTAAAAAAAAATAAAAGAATATCGCATCGGTCAAATAAAGAGAATGTAGAATAAGTTTTTCTTTGATATACCTAACCTATATGAGTCTAAAAATCAGTTAAACTTACTTCAACTTTTTTGATTACTTAAATAATTCTTTTTAAAGTGATAGTAGGATAACATTAGAAGTTGATACTAGTTCCTCGACGATTTACTTTGTGCACATTCCAAGTCCATAGAATCTCACGTAACGCTGTGCAGAAACAAGAATTTTACATCAAAATGACTGTAAAAATGACCCCAAATAAAAAGAAAAGTTATTCCAAATCTCGGTAGAGTTTGCTGCAATATCTTATTCTTTGTCTCAGTCTGACATTTCTTTCAATGAAGTATGATAGTTACGAGTTCTCAAAATTATAATTATTTTTCAAAATTTAACTTAACCATTGCTGCACATTTTTAAATGACGCTAAAAATAGTGTTAATCTCAAAAAAACCGTTATAGTCGACTAAACAAAAAGTGGTTAGAATCGCTCACTTTTTTTAAGCAATAGGCTTATTTATGCTCTTACAAAACCTAAAATAGATCAAAGCTTCGAGTAAAAAAGTCAGACCATACGGTTGCACGAGACATAAGGCCCACTTACTCTCATTTCGGCCTCTCTTTCTTTTTTCACAAGTCTTCTCTTCTTGAAAAGTAAGAGGGTAAGGAAGAAAAGGAGAAGAACAGTTCAAAGGGCCTTGAGTCAAGATGACGACAACGGATCTACGTGCGGAAAAAAAGAGTAGCAAATTACGCTCCCCAGCTTCTGGAGGATCATCAAATTAGCACCAGAGTCTGTCGTTAAGGGTGAGCAGATTTTCCTTCCTCTTTCTCTCTCACGTTCACTCCCATGCATAGGTAGATGGCCTTTTTCCCTCTAGTGCAACTGATTCTGCGAAATTATGCCGAGCTCCAACTTCCTTTTCACTACCACTATCAACAAGACTCCTTGTTTTTGGTGTGTGCATGCGAATAAATTTTTTAACTGTAGAGAAATTCCTTTTTGCTTTTGCATACGTATGCCAGATGTTCTTATTTGGGATGAGGTAACAACGATGTCGATACTCGAGAAACCTGAAAATCTGCATCCTTGAATGATTTGGTTTCCGTAAGCCGTTTAGTAAGACGTGCACCTGTAGTAATAGTTGGCACATCATCTGGATGGGAAAAATGATTTATATATATCAAAGGTAGTCCCAAAGGATTAGAACTATTGAGTTTAAGATAACTATGACTCTTGGGAGTCAATAGAATTCTGTTTAGTTCAAACCTATCATAGTATGTGAGACGTATACGATTTTCATCGATCTCATCGTCTCGCTTAACTTTAATGTAACCAACTTGAATATCTGGAACAGCATTTGTGAACAGCAAACGTGAGTTTTTATTGCTTCTTTGAAGTATAGATGAGAAAAATTCCTCGCAGATATTTGATTTTTTGTTATTTTTATGATATCTTACAAACATCTTACCAAAACAGCTCATTTACAAAGATCCAGAATAAATGCAAGCTTTAATTTTTTATCTTCAATTACTTTTAGCAAAACAAAAGCTGAAAGTTTAATGTTTGAACAGCTGTTTTAAGCATCCAAGTGGGAAAAAAGTAATTAAAAGTATACTAGACTTCCTTTTTTTTCTGGATATTGATTGGTATCAATTTTACTGACTACTAAGGTACTGTTAGTGTTTTAGTTACAGGCAATTTGTGTCAGTTGTGTAACTGTAAAACTCTAACTGACTTTAAAATTATTTTACGATTTTAAGTTAGGATATTTTCGAAAAATTTTTGTCATCTACATTGTTGTATAGGTCTTGTCTTACTAGTAATGACAGCAGGTTTTATTTATGTGATGGTTTCTTCTAATGTAAACAGAACTTATAAGAAATGGAAATTATTTCAGAAAAGCATAAGGATCTAAATTTTTCAAATTTTGGCGTTAATTTGCCAAAGTTAGAGATATAATATGGAAACTTTTTAAAGTCCAAATCGACCATTTACAGTAGTCTCGTGACCTCAAGCTGTTGTACATCTCGTTTTTGTCAACGTAGTATTGATTTGGTTGATCAACGTCAACTTAGTGAATTTCAGTAACATAAATAATTGTATCAACTAATAGCAATCGCCCAAAACCAAAATACATGTTTTCACATGGGTACATGGACGACGAATAATAATAACATGGCTACCACGAAGTCTCCATTGATTTACAGTTGCATAACGAAAATAGAAGAACCACGTGAAGTGGCACTTCTGACAGACAAAAATCTGCCTCATATATTGTCAACAAAACATTATCCAACTTTAATTTTAACAATAATATATGTTTATACACACGCAAGTACACACGCATGTATATGTATCGTACAAGTATCTCATAATTTTTGGGCCAATATTTTTAATCAAAAAAATAATAAAATAGACAAAGGTATAAAATAAATTTTGGTCAGACGTTTGTATAAAAATACGTGCAGATGTGCACAAAATATTTACGTATACAGACAGATAAACTTTAATGTATGTACAATAATCTTTATAATTCGAACGTTCAATGATTATAGAAATATTTATATTGTCTGACAGCCTACAAGCTATCATATTTAGGTGCACAAATATCTTGTCCGAAAGTTCCATCTTTTGACGTAGTTTAATAAAAAATTTAATAATTTTTATACGATTATCATTTTCGAGCGATTTTCTGTCAACTTTTTGATCTGTTACATAATTTTTATGGTAATAAGCGTTGTTATTACAAAATGGGTGGTTAAAAAAGGTTTCTTCAATAAAGTACAAGTTACTGCATTATTTTTATTTTCCAGAAATTCAACTTGAGTTAAAAATCACATTTTTTAGTGAGAATAATGAATAATAATGAGTAGCATAGTGCACTTCCTAGCAGAATGAGTGAGAATCATCAAATTTGTACTTGAGTCTATTTTTGAGGGTAAGATAATTTTTTACCCGTCCCTCCAGCGTTTTTTCTTACATAGGTAATAGCTTAGTTTCTCTCTTATGCATCCACTTTTGCAAAATTATGCTGAGCTGCAGCTGTTTTTCACCACCACCATCAACGAGACTTGCTATTTTTCTTGTGTGCATCAAAAGTATTTCTGTAACCTTTAGAAAAAATTTTTTTTTGCATGTATGTGTCTCCTAGGTTCTCGTAATTGACAGAAAACAAAAGTAGGGAAACTGTTCAAATCGTTTGCACGATTTCAATTACTTCAATCTTAATATCAATAAATAAATTATTATCAAGTCATTATCACCAACGTTTTGCATATAGTTGTGTTTAAGTACATTATAAGCACAATAGTGATAAATAGTAGATATTGTTAATTATTAACTTTCTAAGTCAACTTCATCAGTTAAAACATAAGTAAATGATATACTACAACTGTAAATCTTTTCAACAACGTATATTTCATATTATTAAAAAACTTTTTTAGGACTGATAGACTTTAAACTCTTTTTCATACAAAACTGTAACATCATTTCTCCAGTCTTCTTTAATCATGTCACTACCCTTCTCACCAATCATAATTGTCGGTGCATAGGTATTACCTCGTGTTACAACAGGCATAATAGAAGCATCAATGACTCGCAAATTTTTGATACCTTTTACTTTCAATTCTGAATTAACAACCGCTTCCACATCTGATTCAGGTCCCATTTTACAAGTACCAACTAAATGACCAATGGAACCAGTATATTTTCTAGCTAAACACTCATAATATTCATCGGTGTCATACTTCCATTGGTCACAGAGTGGCGTCGGTACTACAGAAATCTGAAAACCTGCATCCTTGAATGCTTTGGTTTCCGTGAGCCGTTTAGTAAGACGTGCGCCTGTAGTAATTGTTGGTACATCATCTGGATGGGAAAAATAATTCAGATGTATCAGAGGTGGCCCCAAAGGATCAGAACTATTGAGTTTAAGATAACCACGACTCTTGGGAGTCAATAAAAGTGTTGTAAGTCGGAACCCATCATAGTACGGAAGGAGAAAACGATCTTCATTTATCTCATCGTCTCGTTTAACTTTAATGTAACCAACTTGAATATCTGGAACGTTAAAACGTTTCTCAAAGTTGGTTTTTAAAAAGGCAATATTGTCCATAAAAGTATTAACGGCTAGAGGACCCCGATGGTTTGTCAACCAACGAAGAAGATCACTGTAGACAGTATTAATACCGAACGGCACAGTCTTGTTAACCACCTTCACCATCAACGGAGTAATGGATACGTGGTTGTGTAGATTTTTTCCTACTGGTAAATTCTGAATGACTTCGATTTTTGATTCTCTAAGGTTATCTGATGGTCCTATTCCTGATAGCATCAAAAGTTTTGGAGAATCAATAGCACCTGCTGAAAGAATTACTTCCTTACTGGCATATGCTTTTCTAGTTTCTGCGATACCATTTGTGTTGTATTCAACACCGATAGCCTTTTTCGTCTGCGGATCTATGATAATTTTAGTAACTGCAGAATTGGTTCGAACAACGAGATTTTTTCGATTAGCCCGGATTGGTCTGAGATAGGCACTGTTAGCACTTGAACGAGAACCATAATAAGTGCTGTACTGCATCCTTGATGTTCCAAAATTGTTACCCGAATTGTAGTCAATTTCTTTCAATCCAAGTTCTTTCCAACCATTCATTATGACTCTGGCATTAGGATCGTAGCTTTCTGCTCCAGATATACTCTGATAACCTGTACGTCCATGCAATGAAGGATTTTGGTCGAAAACCTATTGGAAAAGTAACTTTTTATACAGATGTGTGAAGCAAAATGTTTTAAAATGAGGAATCGTAATATACCCTAGGGATTCTGAAGTCCTCTAACTTTTTAAAGTATTCTAAAGTTTTAGTCCAACCCCAGCCTTTATTACCAAGTAGCTCCCAATTGTCGTAGTCCCATCGATTGCCGCGAACAAAATGTGAGCTGTAAAAGTTGCTGGATCCACCTAAAACTCGTCCTCGTGGCAAATCGCACGGCTCGCCATTGCACATTGTAGGATCTGGTTGAGAGGTATAATTAAAATCAAGAGACGATCCAGACATTAAAGTGTGAAGACCTGGAACTCCCGTTATAAGGGGTTCTTCGTCACCAGCTTCTAATAGCAATACCTACAAATTTTTTATTTTTGCAGTACAAATGAAAGAAACAACCTACTGAAATTATTTTATGGTAAAAGTCAAATTACTCGTACTTTTTAATTAAATAGTCTTATTTGATGATTAAAATACTTATTTTTTCAAGTCATTAAAAAGCTTTGATCACCATACTGATAATTTGTTTTCAGATGCTCAGTTATTTAAATAAAAAAATCTCAACAACTCACCTTCCAACTGGGGTCTTCGCTTAACCGATTAGCCACTACACAGCCTGCACTACCACCGCCAACGATAACGAAATCGAACATGCCATCCCCATTATCAGGATTTAAATCATTGAATGCACTGTCGTAAGAAGAACTTAGATAATAAGTTAGAAAATTTAAAAAAGTTAGAGCCGCTGCGTTGCAGTTGTTGGACGCGCAGACTGCCTCATTATTCCCAGGTAACCACACCATCTTGTCCTTTGTGAGCGATGTGTTTGCGTGAGTTTAAAAATTTTAACCAAGTAACATACCCACTACGAGTGACAAACTGACAAGAAAGAAGGTTGCATGCGAGTTTTTATTACTTAATGCGAAATATAGATAAAGAGAATCCGTCACGCACGGCTGGTTTCGTTTTTTTTATATAACTATGTTGAAACGTCTTACGCACAGAGGTTTTGTAGAGATTCAGTATACAAGCAAGTATCAATTTACTTTTCAATATTGACTGACGTTTAAAAAGCAATAACTACGAGTTGCATCTTTTATTAGCTGTTTTATGCAATTGAGGTGAGAAAAAACTAATAGACATGTATTTTACGTGTTCTCTTTTTTATGTATTCATTTGCAGTCAATTTTTACTGACTACAAAGTATTTAGTAATGTAAAACGATATCCTAAATTTACAAAATTAGATCTCTTGTAGAAATCTTAAAATCTTAAAAATTAAGTATAAAATTGATGCATCACCGTTAATTGAAGGTATTTTCTTAAATTTTTTGTCATACACATCGCTTTATGGAGCTTGTCTCACTCATAAGTACGTGTGTTTGTTTTAAAAGGAAATAAGCACTTTCTAATCACGGAATAGTTGAATTAAATATAAAGGTAACTTATTTTGGGGCTGGACATTTTTTTATACAAACCCAACATCGAATTGTTTAAAAAACTACTGTTAATTTTCATAAGTTGGTGATATTCCATGAAAATTGCCGATAAACATCATTGATGGTTCACAGTAGTCTTGTTGCATTAGTTGGCCGTAGATTTTTTTTTGCTAACGTAGTTTTAATTGTTTTTCTACTTGATTAATTTTACTGAATTTAGCAATTATATAGATTGAAAGCAGTTATAAACATTTGAAACTTACATTTTTCTTATCAAGTACTGTCAAGAATACAGGATAACTATACTGCGAAATATTCATTGATTTACGAGTTGTAACGACAAAGCGCCGTGTGAGAGGTCCCAAGACTCCTGACAGAAGCAAAGCGGTCTTATATTCTCATACATGTGATTAACGAATCATTATATCTCATTTTAACAATAATCAATGTTCATTATTCATAATTAAGATTTATTAAAACGAAATTGTAATATTACTTAAGAAGTTACATTGATAAGAGCCGAACTGCACACGTTGGAAATATTTCTACAACCGCTGAACATAAAATTAAAAGATTTTTTCCTTAATACGTATCTATAACATTTTCTAAATCTGTGTTGTGGTACTGTGTACATAAGAGTCCATACTTTTGTAGTTAATAGTACTTCACTAAAACTAATATTGTACCTTTCTTACTTGATTTAGTCTTTTATACCAATAATTAATATTATACATCTACATATTGGCAAAACAATTCAGGGTTACTCAAACCAGAAATGTGTATGTGATTTCGCATCTGTGAGAGGTCTTAAGATCCTACACACTGTTTTTTTTTTTTTTTTTTTTTTTTTGAGTCATTTTATTACTTTAAGAAATTATGTAAAAACAATGTAAAGAATATGAATGATAAAACTACTGGCCATAAAAGAAATAGTTGAATCAAAGAAAAGTTATAAGAAATTTTAACTTGTATGGTGTGTACCTACACAAGGTACTACTGTATCTATACACTAGGCAGCAGGTACCAGTTGAATTACTATAAATAAAGTGTATGAAAGGTGGTCGTATATAGAGACTCCGGAAATAGAAGAAACTCGATCACTTTGAGCTCGTACGACTTATTCCAAAAAAATGTAATGATCAACGCCCACTGCAGTAAGACTAAAAGCGATAATCGCATCAACAAGCGTCCATATCTATATATACACGAGCCAGTGCTGTGACCATGCACTAAGTGAAGTTGAATGAGGAAAGCATGTTGGTAGATTCAGATTTGTTGATTTTTACGAAATACCTCCTGAACCCAGAGTCAACGATGTTATCTTGGCTTTAAAAACATTGATTTTACGTATCACACAAACATATCCACGACTAAGTAACTTCAATCGAAGTTGGGTGAAATGACCAACGGTAAAGATACGTTTAACAGCCAAGTCAGAGAGAATTTATTTCAACAGCCTCAGATTTTGATTTCGTTTGCAATATTAAAGTTAGTCGTCAACTGTCAGTTCAAAAATAACTATTTCAAACCTAATAAATGCACTGAAGACGACTTCAAAAGATTCATCCAAACCACTAAATTTATGTTCCATAAAATTAAAAGTAATCATGAAAGAAGAGAAAACGTTTACAAATAACTTTAGTATTATAAACATTTTTATTAATTAATGAGTTTACTTTCTAAACCGTTCGAGCACCGGTGCAAATTTTCTTACTTAGGGCGCAGAAAATGTCTAAAGGTTAAAAAAAACGTCCACTGGAGCAAAAATTACTTATCAGTGATATTCCATTCTTTTTTAATCATGTCACTACCTTTTTCTCCAATCATAATAGTCGGTGCATAGGTATTACCTCGTAATACAATAGGCATGATAGAAGCATCAATGACTCGCAAATTTTTGATACCTTTTACTTTCAATTCTGAATTAACAACCGCTTCCACATCTGATTCAGGTCCCATTTTACAAGTACCAACTAAATGACCAATGGAACCAGTATATTTTCTAGCTAAACACTCATAATATTCATCGGTGTCATACTTCCATTGGTCACAGAGTGGCGTCGGTACTACAGAAATCTGAAAACCTGCATCCTTGAATGCTTTGGTTTCCGTGAGCCGTTTAGTAAGACGTGCGCCTGTAGTAATTGTTGGTACATCATCTGGATGGGAAAAATAATTCAGATGTATCAGAGGTGGCCCCAAAGGATCAGAACTATTGAGTTTAAGATAACCACGACTCTTGGGAGTCAATAAAAGTGTTGTAAGTCGGAACCCATCATAGTACGGAAGGAGAAAACGATCTTCATTTATCTCATCGTCTCGTTTAACTTTAATGTAACCAACTTGAATATCTGGAACGTTAAAACGTTTCTCAAAGTTGGTTTTTAAAAAGGCAATATTGTCCATAAAAGTATTAACGGCTAGAGGACCCCGATGGTTTGTCAACCAACGAAGAAGATCACTGTAGACAGTATTAATACCAAACGGCACAGTCTTGTTAACCACCTTCACCATCAACGGAGTAATGGATACGTGGTTGTGTAGATTTTTTCCTACTGGTAAATTCTGAATGACTTCGATTTTTGATTCTCTAAGGTTATCTGATGGTCCTATTCCTGATAGCATCAAAAGTTTTGGAGAATCAATAGCACCTGCTGAAAGAATTACTTCCTTACTGGCATATGCTTTTCTAGTTTCTGCGATACCATTTGTGTTGTATTCAACACCGATAGCCTTTTTCGTCTGCGGATCTATGATAATTTTAGTAACTGCAGAATTGGTTCGAACAACGAGATTTTTTCGATTAGCCCGGATTGGTCTGAGATAGGCACTGTTAGCACTTGAACGAGAACCATAATAAGTGCTGTACTGCATCCTTGATGTTCCAAAATTGTTACCCGAATTGTAGTCAATTTCTTTCAATCCAAGTTCTTTCCAACCATTCATTATGACTTTGGCATTAGGATCGTAGCTTTCTGCTCCAGATATACTCTGATAACCTGTACGTCCATGCAATGAAGGATTTTGGTCGAAAACCTATTGGAAAAGTAACTTTTTATACAGATGTGTGAAGCAAAATGTTTTAAAATGAGGAATCGTAATATACCCTAGGGATTCTGAAGTCCTCTAACTTTTTAAAGTATTCTAAAGTTTTAGTCCAACCCCAGCCTTTATTACCAAGTAGCTCCCAATTGTCGTAGTCCCATCGATTGCCGCGAACAAAATGTGAGCTGTAAAAGTTGCTGGAACCACCTAAAACTCGTCCCCGTGGCAAACCACATGGCTGACCATTACATATTTTAGGATCTGGCTGAGAGGTATAATTAAAATCGAGAGACGATTTGGACATTAAAGTGTGTAGACCTGGAACTCCTGTTATGAGCGGTTCTTCATCACCGGCTTCCAGTAGTAGTACCTTCAAATGTTTTATGTTTAAAAACAAGTCATCCCAATGAAGAAATCAACGACTTACCTTCCAACTGGGATCTTCACTTAATCGATTAGCCACAACACAGCCAGCACTACCACCACCAACGACGATAAAATCAAATTCGATATCACCTCTGTCGGGATTCAAATTGTTAAATTCACTGTCGTAAGAAAAACTTAAATAATGAGTGAGAAAATTCAAAAAAGTGAGCGCCGCCGCGTTACAGTTGTTAGATCCGCAGACCGCCTGATTATTCCCAGGCGTCCAAACCATTTTTTTGGCCTTGGTATGCGGTGTATTTCTTAAACTATAGTAAACTTAATTAAGTGACATATTCACTACAAGTAATAAACTGAGGTGAAGAAGGTCATGCGTGAGTTTTTATAGTTTAGTTACACTTCAAGAATTTGTCACGTACTGCTTGATTTGCATATTTTATATAACGTCTGCTGAAACACTGCTCTCACAGCTGCACAGCTGTTTTGTAGACATCCGGCACAAGTCATTAATCCTCCTTTTAATATTTACTGTAATTCAATAAACAAAAACTGCGAGTTGCATGTTTGAACACCTGTTTTATGCAATTTAAGCAGGAAAAATGCGATACTATGCGATTTTCCTTATCCAATCATTTATGCTTACTCATTTTACATATTTCAGAGTAACTGTTAATATCAAACAATTCTTTACGTACAGATTTATATCAATTGTATGAATTGAAAGATTTCAAAAACAAACCCCACGAAATTTGATGCATTTCGGTTAACTGAATATATATTTTTGATTTTTATGATCAGCCACATCGTTTTATCGGCCTTGTTTTACTTAAACATGTATCTCTTTCTCAAGTGGAATCAACCCTATTTATTTCTGAAATGATTGCATATTATGCGAACGACATTTGTTGGGACTTGCACCTTCTTTTTTCAAACCACAGGTTATGAATTTTTTTAGAAATTAGTGTTTATTCGGCAGAGTAAGAGATATTACATTGAAATTGTCGATGTCCCAAATTAACTATTCACAATAGTTTCGTGACCTCCAGCCATAGTGCATCTCGTTTTTCTCCACTACTTGATTAACTTTAGTACCAAATATGATTGTGTATACCAAAAGTAGTCGCAACCTGATTAAAATACATATGCTTCCGTTTGACACATGGAGGTGGTGAGGTAATACTATCAGCCAACTGTTTATTTGCAGTTGTAAAAGGAAAAAAAAATTTACTCCTTCGTATGGACTCTATTTAATCAGAAGAGAGCAGTTTTAATCAACGTCAGTCCAAGTGCTCGAGAGCTAAGAAACACCGATGAGCCGGATCGGAGAAACTTTTATTTCCACAGCCCCTATTCTTGTCTCGTTTGATAATCAGAGCTCCACGGTGTACGTGTCCGTGTGTACACACAGGGTGCAACGAGGTCAGTGCAAACTTTGCTACCAGAAGAGTATTTTTAACACTCAAAACATACACGCTTACACCTACAGAAAAAGCACGTGAATGTTTTATCGTAGTTGGGCTTGCTCGCCTCAGAAATCCAACTACATGGGACGCACTGTGGGCTATGGTTTCGCGAGCTTTGGTCAAAAGTACAGGCCGCGATGGACTTGAAAGAAAATTCATGTAGTTTTTGTTTTTCTCACGTAAAATTATATTGATCCTAAGCAAATAGGCATTTTTGATTTTTTTTTAATATTATAGTTAAACGTTAATTGATCATTAACCAATGGAAATCATACAATTAATAAATGCACTGACTATAATCGGAAGATACTCATCTCAACCACTAACTATTTTATTCAGTTTTTAATGTACTACTATCGTCAAACGTGAAATTCTAATGTTGTCATTGTTATTCTTATTTTTGATTAATATGTACTTCTAAATCAAGTTATTTATTTAATTATAAATTATATTTTGTGTCATAATACAAATCTCAAAAATTTATGTCGCTTCTTTATCCCTGTAAACGACATAGTGCCACGAATGGATAGTACTTGTGTAAGAGTTTTTATAACTTTAATAATTTTTTCTTCTCTCAGTGTACAAACCATATTTAAAAAACGTTATAGGCGTGAGAGGAGGTTCTTTAAAACAAATTAAAAATCTTGGGTCAACTTACTCGTACACAGAATCATAAAATTATTTTCAACCACAAACAGCGGCTTCAGTTCGCTGAAAAAGCCCCAAAATGGAGTCGAAAATTTCAGCGCAATCAGCGAGCGTCCGCTTTAAAAGTTCGCGCTGGGGTCTCTTAATTAAAATTTGAATGAGTTCTCGAGTTCTCGAGAGAGGCCTGGGATTTCCCCATCATCATCGCTGAAAAAAACCCACCAAAAGAGGAAAAACATTTTTTCACATAATTCAGTGCCAACGAACGAAGACCCGATCGAAACGAAAATGCGCATCCGATATGAGTTCCCGAGGAGTCGGGAAAGTTTTTTTTTTCCCCCGATACAGTATCGATCGGCAGATACGCGCGAAAGAAAGAAAAAAAGAGCGAGCGCGCTCCGAGCCACCAGTTGTTTAGCGACTGCAGGCAGAAAAACAAAAGACCGTCCGGGTATTGTGCGCCCGCTTAGGCGCCCATTTTTTAATTGAGATATAGAGGCCCTGTGTGTTCTTTGTGCACCAGCTTCGTTCTCCCCCCCACCCTTTTTTTTATTGACGAATGGTCACGCGAACACTTTGGACTACTGTCCAGCACTCCCCTTTTGGATTACCGCTTACGAGGCGCTCGCAAACAATGCCCGGAACTTTTCCGGCTGCGTAAAAATTTAGTTTGCGTTTGCATCGATTTTTTTTTTTGTTGTTTTGTTTCGTGGCTGGGTTTGTTTGTTTGTTTGTTGATTTTAATTTGGTTATCCATATGGATGGGCGCGCGTGGTGGAGGGTAACTTTTTTTCGCTCGCTCCGCACGAAAGTCCGCGCTTTCGATGTAATTGAGCGTCACTCGAGCTTTTGTAATTCCTGGTCGTGATGGATTGTTATGTTGATGTTTTGGCGCAAGACCGTTTTTTTCCGATTGGATAGCACGTTCAGAGCGAAATGTATGCGTCCTTTTCGTGTATTGGTTTTATTTTAACATTTAGGTTTTTTTTTTTTTTTTTTTTTTTTTAGGGGGAAGCACGATGCATTTAAATAAACTTGATTCTTGAAAGAGGAAGCATTTAGTTCAGAAAACTTTTTTGCTCTTTTTAAAAGGATGACTTTTTGTACCATTCTATGATGCTTATGATGGTGTTGAGCGAGCAAGGGGCTGAGTTTGCTATAAAACTCTCTCATATAAACTGCTTATCATTGAAGTGTTCGTGTAATACCCGTTTTTAACGAAATATAAATTATTCAAATAAAAAATTTACTAAATTACCCAAGCTAACTGAAATTTTAAAAAACGCTCATAAATAAGTACTTGCCATTTCACGGAAATTCATTGAAATCTGAAGTAACTAACTGCAATTCACTTACCTGAAACAAAAGAAAAACATTACTTTATAATATTATCATAAGGTATATATATTCGTCTATAATATTATTATTTATATTACATGAAAATTAGTACATTTGTGAAATCATTGAGATTATAAAAACAATTCAGGTTTGATATATTATGTTTTTTTTTGTTGAATGATTTCATAGGAACAAAGTTAAACTGAACCTAAATTTTACAGTAGTCCGTTATACGGCAAGTAACCTAGTGGTTAGTTTATATAGTTTAAGTAAGTCTACGTAAGTGATTTAGTTAATATCATTGCGAGAAAAAAAGTAATGTAAAATTTATTATTAAAAAAAAAAAAAAAAAAAAGTTACATATGTAAAAATTGAAGCCAAATAAACTAAATGAATTAAAATTATTCACCATAATTATGTTTGAAGAAGATTTTCATAATAAGGACACACATTACAAAATACTGTTTTATTACCGTTTATATGACGTAACATAAAATATGTTATTTTAAATTAAGAAACAAAGTAGAGTACTTCAATGACAATTGACAAGTAATCCTAGCTATTAATTTCTTTCTTGGGGTACTTTACAGTATCAAATCTCTAAGATCATGAAATTATTTGTAATACAACGTACATAGAAAAAATTAGATACGTGGATGATCGTGGATGTAAGGAAGTGTATTTATACCACAAATCAAATTTTTATATTAGTTTTTTTGATAAAACATTTTTTATGATAGTGATCTAATAAACGAACTCTTAGGAATCATACAATTTTCTACAAAAAATATATTTAAAAAAAATATTAAAAAATTACGTATCTCAGTAAATAATCTTA